CGGCCGCTCTTTTCTTTCGGCATCTTGTCGGGTTCCTCGGTGCTGAGCTGTCAGGCGGGTTTTCCCGGTGTTGATTGGTCCTGTTGATGGTTAGTCCTGTTGATGCCTCTAGGAAATTTTCTACTCTGCTTATTCTAAACTTGTAAATAGAGCAGTGACAGGGTAAGTCACTGATTTAAGAGTGTTGTGGTCAAAAGAAGGAACCAGGAGATAAGGGAGCGAATTACTCTAACTTTGTATAAACAGTGCATGTCTGGTTAACGCTAAAAAGATTGATAGGAGGGGAGGATCCTACCCCAGGAGTTGCCACAAGATGGATGACTGACTGAGAAGAAGATCGGCAGTAGCTGGGGAAAAGATAAAGGCAGCAGGGAAGGGAGGCTGTGACCACTGACTCATTTTAAGACCAAGGTGTGTGTTGTCGTCCCTTGGGTTTGTGAAGATAAATTAAGACACCATAGCTTCAAATCGAAACGGAGCATGTTGTTAACCAGTGGAGGACAAAATGATAAGAAACTAACCTACAGTAAATGTGTATTTGTGTAGTCTGAATTGTATAAATACATTGAAGTTCTCTTGTGAGGTGTGCTGTCTTTGTGAAATTACCACCTAGCACCCCACTCCACGCAGACATGGAATAAATAAATTCCTCTGCTGTGTGTGTATATTGCCATATTGCACACTGGGTAAGCAACCCTACTTGAGGGACAACGCTGTGGCCACAGCTGTGTGTGGATGCTCTGCTCTGCTGCAGTTGCCTCCCAGGCTCGTGTAGGCCACCATCACACTGGCCCACTGGCTCTTTGCTCTGGATCACCTCAGGTTGGTGACGGCTTCCTTGGACTGTCCAGTGCACAAATCTGAAAGCCATGCTTCTGCTAAAATCCTGTGGTATAAAGCAGAGAATGAGTTCATCTGCCTTACCAGCTGTAATTCTTTAACACTTCAAACCCTATGTCTGACTGGTTGGCAGTGGTTTTTCACCCTTGACCTGTGCTCAGCTTTGGATGCACTCTAGCCCACAGTGGTATTTTCTGCAGAATTAGTTGCAGCTTTTGTTTTCAGTCGTGCCTGTGTACTTTGTTCTCCCAGCACAGAACCATGTGCTCATTCACATTAAACTTTCTCCTGGTTTGTTTTTTTTTCCCCACTCACATCACATCTCTACCTTGTGAAGAGTATTTTGAATTGTGATGCCTTGTGCTTGAAACTCCTCCCAAACAGGAGCTGCACATTTACTAAGGTATTCTTTGTCATTCAGATCCTTGATGAAAGGTAGGGTGGGAGTCTGAATGGTCCATCATCCCAGTTCGGCAGTGTCAGTAGCCTGTGTTATCTTTGTAGCTGGTCTTGGAAAGTAATGAAACATTTCTTAAGGGTACAGTGAATGTTGTAGGCCGGACCACATAGCGAAAAAGCCTTAATAGTGGGAAGACAGGAGAATGGGATAGGGAGGATTTGCAAAGTTAAAGTTCCCTTCTATATATCAAGGGCTCTTTTATGCTAAAATAAACAAGCCAAGCTTTCTGAGCCTTCCTGAAGACTTTTTTTTTTTTCTTCTAGTCATCATTATAGCTCTTTTTCTGTTATTTCTTGTAGTTTAAATTGATCTGTTCACTGAAGACAGCTCAGTTCACCTGGAACATCCAAGGATCAGCTTGACTTTTTCTCCCCACTTGTCACTTAATTGGCAGCTCATTATTGTTTTGTGACATCAAGATGTGATTTTCCTTGTGATTATACACACAGTGCTTCAGATTGAATTACTCCCCAGGTGTATCACCTTGTGCTATGACCTTCATACCACTGAGTTTCCATAATACCATAAGCAAAGCACATCTTAATGAATGTTTTGTCAAGGAGCTTTTGTGAGTCAAAAGTCATGGGCTATGTTGACACCTTTCTACCACATATTAAAATGGAGTGGGGCAGTATTGGAGGCAGCAGTCTTTTTCTTCTTTCATAAGACTGAAGTCAGAAGACCGGTGTGCTAGGTGGAGAATCGTATCTGATCCTCATAACAGTACCAACCACAAACATAGTTGCTGCCTCCCCTTCACCTTTTAGGCCATTGAATATTCCCTCCGAGCTCAAGGAGTGGACATGGCATTTACAGGAAGACTAATCAAGGTGCATGTTTCTTGCAACAATTGATATCTTTAAGAAGTAATTATTGGTAACTTGGAAAGACAATTTACCCAACTCAGGAGACTCTTTCTCTGCAGGGGTTTATTATGAATTTCCCTGTTTTTCTCTGTGTTTCCTACTAAGGTGGTTGGAACAGCTTTTATGCAGTAGAAGTCAAATTAAGAGCCTTTGTGCCTGGAAACATTCTCCTTACTCAAGACTCAGTAAAATTGTCTGGAAAATGTCCTCTGGAAGCCATAAATACCTCTTAGTGTTTGATATCAGTATGAGCATGAAGTTAGGACAAGAGTATAAGAACCCTTACAAGAAAGGGAGGGGAAGAAGGAAGGGAAAGCAGCAGTGAAATGGGTCTTTTTCTGGAGCTGGTAGCTCAGGCTTGGATAGCTGAGTCAGACATCTTTGAGTGTTTCTTTGACAGAGCAGATCTGTGTCAGAGAGTCTTCCTGCCTGGGATCACAGAAGTTTAATAAAATTGGTACTTGGTCAAGTGATTATCACTTTCATGCACCTTGGGACAAAAGGTGACTAAAAACTTTATCTGTGTGTTATATAGTTAAACTCCTAACTAAGGAAGCATGTATGTTCTTCTGTCATTCCTTCTGTCACTTGGGACTGAGTTGAGAGTGTATGTAGTGCTACAAACAACTAAAACCATTGAGAGTAAACTTTTCTGATGTAATTCTCTGCCTGGGATAAATGTCAGTAAAAAGGAAATCAAATATACAGATCCAGGGGCAAAAGAGCACTTCAGTAATTTTAAGATTTTATCAATAGAATGTAAATCATAGGTTCAGTTTAATTATTGATACATACACTAATGTTAAAATATGTTCCGTATAAAGAGTTGAAACTGGTATATACCTTATCTGGGTCAATTTAAGTCTCTGCTTTCATCTTTTTCAGTTATACAAAAGCTAGAAAGTAACAGTTGTAATTTATGGTAGAGAATGAATTTCCTTGTCAAGCAGCTACAATGGCTTAAAATGTTACTATTCCTCTCCTGGAGGTTAGTGCCCACACAGACCTGTGAGATCTCTTAAGCTGCTTCAGTGCTGACTGTTTTCCATGGCAATTCAAGCTGAAATGGTAGTAATAAATGTTGAGAAGGATGGTAACATCTTCAACTAAGCGAATTAACCTGTCTCTGGGACTCCCTTCCACAGTATTTAAGGTTTTGAGGGTGTTTAGTTATGCTGTATTGCGGAGCTGCTTTATCTTCCACTGTGAAGAACTTTTAAATAAGTAATGTCCCCCAAAAGCCTTTTTGTGTGACTTTTATTATCCTGTCAGTGGAATGCACAGTAAAAGCATGGTGACATTAGTTGCAGGAATTGGTGATTACATATTGCAATCCTTTAATAGCTTTTTTTGATAGCTTTACATACATGTGTTTAAGAGTTTTCATTACAGATTTTTTACCAACCCCTAAGAAACCTTCATTCTAAGACGATGTCAACTGAAACTATTGTTTTGGACATTCACAGGGTCAATGATTTGAAGACTGGTACACTGATAGGAACTGACAAGTATGGAAACAAATACTATGAAGACAAAAGAAACTTCTTTGGTATGTGTGTACCTCCTGACTGACTGCCCAACTCTGTATAGCTTGTGTAGTTCCTTTTAGTGAAATAGAACTTCTTGCCTGCCTGACATCCTCGCATTTGAGTTGTGTGTCTTTAGAATCTTAAAATCATAGAAATGCTTTTAAATCTTTTGTCTTTCTACTGCTTCCCTCAATTCATTTGCAAACATGGTCAATCTGAAATAATAAATATGGGATAAATATAAGCCAGTCAGATGCTCTCCATGTAGGTCTGCCTGTATGATAATGTGATTCAGAGTTGAATTTGGTCCTTGACCTAAAAGCTGATAGCTTAACAGGTAGGGGAAGAAAGATAGGTGACTTTAAAACTTCCTCACAGCTCTACTTATATGATCACTTCAGGGCAAGGAAACACAGGCTATCTTAAACTTCCTACTAAGTAATTGGATTTTAAATAACATTTGTAGAGTACTTAAAAAGGTAGCACCTAAAACCTTGAGGTGATGTGTAAGCAGTTGATATGCTGGTTAGGGTAAGCTTTGCCTAGTTAACATGTAGGGTACCTGGGGAAAGCAGTTGCTTGGAAATATTGCTTGGTAGTTTTATATGGCTGAAACTTAGTTTAATCTTAGGTTACTAATGACAATGTCCTTTGGGAAAAGACTTCTTCTAAAGGGCAAAAAGTCCCCAGACTTATTTCGCTGCCTGAAAATGTTGTAAGTTCCTATTTCCTGGTACTTATACAATAACAAATACTAACTTCCTTGTGGGAGTGTTAGATTCAGCCAAATAAAAATACAGTAACAGTGGAAATACAGAAGACTTAGAAAAGCTCTACTGACTTTGAAATAAGTGCCTATACTGATAGATACTTTTAGTCAAGTTACTTTTCCTTATGTTTTCATGAATTCTATCCTTTATATGAAAATATTTTTTTTGGAGCTTATACAATATTTCTGACTGTTTATTTAAGGTCGACACAGATGGGTCATCTACACTAATGAAATGAATGGCAAAAATACATTTTGGGAAGTTGATGGAAGTATGGTGCCCCCTGAATGGTAAGTGATTTAGCTTAATAATGTGGACAGATAACAATTGTGTAATTGCCCATATATTTTCTTGTCTTGCAAAGCAGAAGACTAAAAAAAAAACCCACAAACAATTTTATGGTAATAAAATTTTCTTGGACGCAGATATTTTATATATGACCAGAAGATTTCAGACTGGTTACTTTTAATTTCAAACTGCATTCATAATGTTACATTGCTCACTGTCCTGACAGTCTCACTCACTGCTTCTTAGAATGAGAAGAGCATTTTGCCAGCCAGATTGAGCAGGTCAAGCCAGTCTTCCAGTTTTCCCTATTAGTTGTAATTCTGTTTCACAGGCTTTGCTAAACCATTAGTGTTGAGCAACCAGAGGTAGAAAAAATATTTTTATTATCCATCCTATTCAAGAACCTATAACTTAAGGCAATGATGGAACAACATTCCTTAATCCACAGCCATTAACAGCATAATTGTTTCAATTTATATACATTATTACTCTACAAGATGATGAGCAGCAAGGGGCAGGACGCTTTGTATGTTGACTTCTACTTGACTATAATTTTTCTTAAGATTTTATTTTGTGTTTATACATTTCAGTAATAATTCTGTACAACCTCGAGTTCCAGAAGGTCTCTGGCCACACAACTGTTAATACTTTTTTTTTGTGTCTTCCTAAATAGTTCAGGAAAAACACACACCAAATAAAGTAACAGTGTATGATACCAAAAAAAATCTCAACCTGATTCTTGAGGAATATGAATAGCACTTTAGCCACAAAGCAGTGAAAGGTGATATGAAGTAAGAGGTGCTTGGCTAGACTGAGCATTGGTGAACACTGTTTTTTATTATTCCTGTGATAGATGTTTTGTGCCAAGGCTGAGACCGATAATCTAAATTCTTAAATTGTGTCTTTCCTTAGAACATTTGAGAAATGTATGGGTAGGTTGTCTAGGTAGTCAATTTTGTCAAATTCTCTCAGCCTTAAAATTATGTTTAATGCAGTTAATTGTGTCTTCTCCCGTAAGAGCTTAATGGCATTGTTTTTTAGAAGTGACATTAGTATCTGCAAAACTAGCATGTTCATGCCAGTGCTAGGCTGTTCCTTGTTATCTGCATAATAACTGTTTGCTTCTATTTTTTTCTCCTTTCACTGTTACACTGTGCCAGTTTTCAAGATTTTCCTTATTTTGAGGCACAGTTTTGATGTGGGTTTTTTTTTTTCTTTGCTCATGCTTATGTGTTGTTTATTGTGCCTTACAAACCTTGACAGAGGTTTTCTTCCTGAATATCAAAGTGGCGTTTCTAGGATTAAGTAGCTTGTTTAGATCACATAAATCAGTGAGGTAGAAAAACTTAGTTTTCCTATCAGTGTGGAAGAAAATTGCCTTAGAAGAAACAGTATAATTATTTTCAAGACTAGCCAGTGCAGTGGGGCACAAAAGGATAAACAGTCCTGTGTTCTAAGGTATTTTTGTCAGGAAACTTAGTTGTGCAGTACTGTTCAGTTTTTTTGTTTTTTGGGTTTTTTTTTTAATTGCTGATAAATTTGTATTTCCCATGTTATCCTTAGATGTTGTGACACATCTATATCACTGACCTGTGTTGTGTTTAATCCCAGCTGGCAACTAAGCATCATGCGTCTGCTCACTCATTCCTCACCTCTCCCAGTGGGATGGATAGGATAATCAAAAAAAAGTAAAACTTGCTGGTTGAGATAAGAGCAGTTTAATAACTAAAATAAAACATAATAACAACAATAATAATAAGATATAGTAGTTGTAATGGAAAGGAAAATAGCAAAAAAAGGGAGAAATAAAACCCAGAAAAGACAAGTGATGCACAATACAGTTGCTTACTACCCACCAACTGATGCCGGAGCAGTGATCTGCCCCTCCTGGCCCACTCCCCCCCAGTTTCTATACTGAGCATGACACTCTATGGTATGGAATATCCCTTTGGCTAGTTCAGGTCAGCGGTCCTGGCCAGGCTCCCTCCCAGCTTCTTGTGCACTTGCTCGCTGGCAGAACATGGGAAACTGAAATATCCTTAACTTAGGATCAGCGCTCCTTAGCCACAACTAAAACATCAGTGTTTTACCAACATTATTCTCACATTAAATCCAAACCACAGCACTGTACCAGCCACTAGGAAGAAAATTAACTCTATCCCAGCTGAAGCCAGGACAACCTGCAATTCTGCACTGTTTAGATACGTTTTTAAAAATACTTCTATTTTTACTGGGAATAAATGCTCTTTTTTAAGATTAAAAAAAAAAAAAAATTAACATGGCATAGACTCTGAATTGAGACTGTTAATATATTATACAAGTTGCTGTCAGTGTAACACTGGGGTTCTGCAATGACACAGGAAACAAGCGGGTTTTTTTGATCCAGAGTTTGTTGGAAATAAATTTAGATTGTGGGAAATTACTTCTATTAAAAAAGAGATTAATTTGGCCCATAGTATACTAGTATCTGTCCCGTCACACACAGAGAAGTAAAGTAAAAATTGTTCATTTCTTGAAGCACTAGCCCTCCCTTCAACAGATAGAAAGGTGAGACAAATTTGTCATCCTTGGGTCAGCTGTGAACTATATAAAGTACCATTTTAACAGCTGGGTTGTGATCTGAATACTTCTTCCAAACACTGATTTTGACTCTGGGTTTTAGTTCATTCAGCTCAGTAGAGCATTTTGTTGGTGTGGTATTGTACCCTCTGTAGGTGGAAGCAGGTTTTACTGCATTGTTTATGCTGGTGCTGGTTTCAGACAGTAGTGTGCAAGTGTCATGCCTAAAGATGACACTTTAACAAAATCGAGTCTAAGACCAGGGCTAACCTAGAGATTTCAGATTTTCCTTTTTTAAATAGTAATGCGAACTACTGTGTAGTGATTTTCTAGCATTATAAAAATTGTACTGTGTGTAGGGTTATGCTACTGATTACACTGTTTTCTTGGGAAGTATAGAGAACACTAGCAGATGTGCAGGAAAAACACTTTTCCCTTTTTTTTTCTCAGTGTATCATACTACAGGTTGTTTTTCTCTGTTTCTGGTTGTTGAATACACAGTGCATCTTAAAGTATAATTTTGTGGTCATGTGCCTTCAGGACTGTGGAATATGAATGATTGAAATACAGTCAAGTGGACCTCATTGTGCATGATGAATTGGAAAAAGGCACTTTGGTATACTGAAAAGTTCTGAAAACAACTGTCTGGAAAAAATAAAATGATAATTCGTTTAGCTACCCTTTACCTTCTGTCAGATACTGGAGAAAAGGAAAAAGCACCAAGAAAAACCATCTTGTATGTAATAACATATTGTAATACCATTTTTAGAAACTACTGAATATTTTCAGTATGCTGAAATAATTGATGTAATGTCTTTTGACAACGGATGTACTGAAATCACAGTCTGGAGGAAATCAAAAGAGTTGTTTTGACATATGTCTACTATGCAGAGAATTGAGACTGTTGCTTTTTTAAAATTGTGCCATACCAGAATATGTAGGCTTATTCTGATTTAGTTGTGGTATTTAACTTCTTTGTTACTCTGGGTTTTCTTTTCTTACTTTCAAAATCAAGCTGTTGGTATCCACTTTTTGGACACAGTTAAATTTTTTTTACATATATATATTCCCTCAATACTTGTGTTGGGAATGATTAGTATTAATCTTGTAATGCTATACAAGATTTTGGGCACTTTTTTTTTTCCTAAATGAAGACATCTTTTACACTGTTAGACAGTTAGAAAAGCCAAAATACTTGTTTTGTCTCCTCCTGTTCAGCGCATGTTGTTTGCAGGAGCTTAGTACTCATTTTGAACACACTGATCAGGTGTGCTCTGTGAACATATAAACAATAAAAGTTAAATCTGTTCATACCAATGCCTGCCTGTATGCATAGTGCTTTCATAGATGTCTCCATTACAAATTGCTATAATCCTTGGGCTGTGTGTTGAGCTCATTTCCATTTTACTGTTACTTTAGAAAGCCCATTGTCACCTTTTGTTCATCATTCATTTATCTCCCAAAAATTCTGCAGTTAGCAAATCACCTCCAGGAGTCCCAGGTGATACTGGTTTTTTAGAACTGGCCTATGCTGCTTCATGCATGTACTCACATTCACGTGTAGTCACAATTTATGTGTGGATGCACTCATTACAACCAAAACTTTTTTCTGTTCGCTCAAAAATAACGAAAAACCAAGTAGGAACATGATACAGATAAATGACTTTCAGGTTTAATATATTATACTTTTTGTTCTGTAGAAAAGCTTTTGAAATGTTTTGGGGAAGAAAACATTAGTGTTAAGATTAAGAGGAAAATGTGACTCCTTGGGAATCCCTGAGCAGCTTGTAAGTACTAGTTAGAGTACCAACAGGCAAAGAGTTTTCATAGTAAAAACTGGCTATCTTGAATGTATACTTCTTGAGAATAATGTGATTTGCAGTCTTTATAGGGCAAGGGCTATATAGGGGTTATAGTTGCCTCCATCCACCCTCCCACCTGCCCCAGGAGAAGTAGGCTTGGATCACAGGCAAGCTGAAACCCAGATGAAATGTTCTGAGCAGGTTTGTGAGTAAGGAAGTATGCTTAAAGGAGTGTTAGTTGGTTTTCCTCCTTAATCAAAGGATTTCCTCCTTAATCAAAGGCTGCACAGAGAAGTGAAATATTAGGGGTGTAAAATATAGATAGATGCATCAGAGAACTCTGCTGCTTCTTTCATTGTTATTACCAGCTGCAGGTTATCTGCAGTTATAAATCTGGCAACATGGCAAGTTGTGGTGTCCCAAGAGGAAAAGGAGGAGTGAAATCATATGGCTGAGAGCAGAGACAGAGGTTAGGACCCTGCTCTTCTGGCATCTGCAGCCTCTTACTTTCTGGTGTGCAGGAGAGTAATGGGCAGTGCTGGAGGATGATCTAGGTGTTGCATAAATCCACATTATCATAGTGCTGAGAAAGAAGCATGCCATCCTGAGAAGTAGAAAGAATTACTGCCTGCACTCATGCAAAGTGACTCTTCCTTTCTGCTTATTACCAGAAAGACTTATGTAGGGTATAGTTTTTGTCTCTGGGCACCACGCTCTTAAAAAACCCCAAATACACACATAGACCAGTGGATGAAGCCTAGGGGAGGGCTGCAAGAACATTGAAACCTCTGAGTCTGAAGAAGGAAGAACTGGAATTTGAGAATAGTTTTTTTCCTTTTACAGGGACACATCATTTTGCCAGCACTGTCCAATGTATATGTAATATCTGTCCTGTACTTTGATGTTTATTTCCTTATGGTGCAGATCTGATATCTTTGGAAGAAGCTTTAGGAGTGCTAACTTCATACAATGAAATATTTCAAATTTAACTTCAGTTTAATAATCTACATCCCCTTAGTTGATTTGACAGCTGAAGGAGGGTTGAGTGTAGTATCTCAGACTTAAAGTGCCAGCATACTAAAAATGTAAAGAAATGTGCTATTCTCCTGTAAAACTGCTGCTTTTTAAGTCTGCCCCCAGGGAAAACAAGATTGAACAGAAGAGAATGGGGGGTAAAATTTTCACCGTTGCAGCAGCTTCACAATAAGTTTGTGAGTTTTATAACTAGATTAAATGCTACTGTAGTGTTTTCAGGCAAATGGGATGCTGTCTCATTACTATACAATGGTATCTTATAGTAGCTTGCACAAGAAATCAAAGTTATCTCCCATGTGTAAACAAAACATGTTTCTTGTCCCTTTTTCCTTCTCTGCCCTTTGACCATAACACACATCTTCACTTCCGTTTTGTCTTATTGCAGCATGGTTAACTTGTTGAAAAAAAGTGGATGCTAACAAGTTGGCAAACATCCTGAACTTACATAGATGGTGTCTGAACCTTGCAGATGCACATACGGTAGTAGCTACGGAGTTTGTGTAGCATCCGTTCTTGTTTGACAGCTTGTACATCATATAATTGGCTCTGGTCCCTTGTAGCTTCGGTTTGAAATCTCCTTGCTTTTAAATGTCTAAACTTGGGAGAAAATTCTACATAGTCTTGAGAGCATTTGAAGATATTTGAGGTATCTTTCATCTGTTTACGCAAGGGAAAGTCCAGAGGCTTTCTAGCCTCAGTCTGCTTGGTAGTGGCTCTGCTCTGTGAATGAGGAAGCTGCTTCAGCCTCTTCAGAGATTTTGCTATCCTCCAGATTTTCTTTGCTCTGTGTAAGTCATCTGCTTCTTTGTAGGTTTTCAGTCATTAATTGCTTTTGCATCCTGTTTTCTCCTGCATGGATTTACAGGCAGAGTTTGTATAGAAATCTGGCCATCTGCAAGACATCAAATCCCTTTATTCATGCTGTTCAATCTAGTGCATGAAAAGCTCTTCTTGAGCATCTGGGAGTAGAGTCTATGAGACGTCAGGGCATCAAAGGATTCTTTGAGGGAGCTTGTCAAGGGGAAAGCCTTCTCAAAATAAAGTTTTCAAATTTTACAAACTTTTTCTTAAGTGCTGAGTGGGAGCTTTTGTTTGAAAGAACAAACTCTGCAAACCAAAGTGCTTTTGCAAGTCACATACTGCGCTTTTAAGGGGAATCTGTTGTGACCAGGCTTAAGCCCTGAAACTCTTAAATATAAGCATATTTAATAGTTAACTCCACACTATCCACCCATGACTATAGTTTTGCTACTTGTGAGTGTTTGAGACATTCCTCGGCTCAGAGGGCCTCTGGTCTCCCCCAAACCTCTCTCTCAGGTTGTTTTTTGTTGCAGGCCTGTTTCTCTCGGGCCCTGTTTTGGGGAGTTATAAGTTGTCTCTCACAAGTTCTAAACAAACTTTTGAATCTCTTCACGTATTTCAGTACATGTGACTGTACTGACATGTCTCATAAGTGAGCAATTTTATTTCTACTTTCAAGTGAGAAGATGGGATTTAAGGATTAGTTTTGCTGATCTGTTTACATTTTGTGCCTGATTTCATATTGATGTTATAGAACTTCAGAAAATCCTGAAAGCAAATATAATAATTACTCCAAAATACTGTATTTTACAGGACTTTGTGGATTTAGTCCTAGAAAAGCTGCAAAACAATAGTTTAAATGACAGAACAAAACTATTCTGTAAAATGAATAAATAAGTCAATATTGTGGTAAATTTTCTGATGTTACAAGGAGTGAATGTACGACATAAGTACATTTCTAATGATGGAGGTGCCAGACATCGTGTAGGCTTGTAATCTAATTGATTTTAACTAAGCTTTAATACAGTTCTTGTGCTCTGCCTGCTCCAGCCTGTCTTTCAGGGCCTTTGTAACTGCATTTCTGTCTGAGAAGACAATTTTTTGTTTGTCCTGTTGGTGTGCATGACGTGTGGGAGTATGAGGCATGATGACAGTTGCATAAATAGGGTTTTGTCTGCAGGGTCCCTATCCACTATTACTAGAAGCGTCACTAGGTGAAGGTGTGTGAGTTTAAGTTGCCTTTATATGTTATGGTAAACAGTTTTGAAAGCTGAGGCTCCTCTGGAGTGATACTATGAAGCATTTTGAAATGTCATGCTTAAATCAGTATTGTCAGAATGTATACAGATACATGGACTGTTCTTTTCCCTTCCTCCCGTGCCACAAACTGTGTGTTTCTTTGTGTTAGCAGTGGAGAGCTGGCTTGTTGGGTATGAGCATATGATGCCACCTCTGACAAATTAGCTCTTTTACATCATTTCTGCCAACTTTGATGATAGCTGTCATAGGACATGTGGTATCTCAGGTGCTGTGGAGCACAGTAGTACACCTAATTCTTCTGATGGTCGTGAATTGGGAGAGGGAGTTCACCTAAGGTCAGCACTCTGTGTAGTGCGGCCAGGGCACTTCAGAGGCTGGTAATACCTGTTTTACAATCAATCAAGGCCTGATCCTGTATCCTCAGACCACATTGTGATTAGTAGTGCTATAGGGTTGCCTTCTTTCAACCAGAAATCATTACTAAAATAATTATTAAAAATCTTTTTTAATAGAAGTAATGGGAAATGTATACTTCAAAAAATACCAAATTTACAGAGTAGAGTGGGGGGAGGAAGAGAGGGAGCCCCTTCCCATTCATGTTGCATTGGGTCACTTCAACTGAATGTCTGTATAATTTTTCCCATAGGAGGCCATTCTCCACCCCGAACAAGGTTTTTCTTCCTACTTTTAAAGGATTTTATGGTTCCATCAGGTTTTGTATTCAAGTGAATTTCCTGGCAGTCCTACAAAGTGTGGCTTTGGTTTGGGGTTCTTGTTTGGTTTATACTTACAGAAAAATTAACATGTGGCTGACATTTTTTTTTTTAAGTGAGATTTTGTACTGAAGTTATAGCCAAAGTTGTGAGGTTTTTCTGAAATAACTGTCTAGAAGCTATTTGACTGAAAAGATAATCAACCTTCTGTAGAGCTCTTCAGGTTTAGAATATACTTGGCAGTCTGTTTCTCACTACTTTTATTGTGGCTTTGTTTTGCTGTATCAGTGAAGTGTGCCAGATTATTTGCTAAAGGCTGAAGATGCAATTTTTAGGCTTTTGAATAAAAACTGGAATAGAAGATTTCTTAATTTTAGGTCAGGTCTTTGGGAAAAGCTGATTAGCAGAAGCTTCTTTTATTCTACTTCAGTAAAAAATACGTAAACTTGCAAAAAAAGTCAGAACCTCTGTCATAACTGTGCATACAGTATGAAGTACATCTAGACTGGCAGGTAATTAAAATGTTATTCAGGTTTAAAAGTTGCTTTGGGCACTGAAGCAGAAATGGCATGAAATCAGTTCAGTAGTGTTTCAGTAAATTGTTAAGGAAAATACTTTGCTTGCTCATTAATGTTGTTTGTACAGGGGAGGATTGTCATTTAGTTAATAGGTAAAGGATAATCACATGGTAATTACCTCATCGCTTTTTGGTAGTAATAATTTTAGTCTGCAATCAGTAAACAGTTGCATGATTATTTTAGGTGAACCTGCATCATTAATCCATATCCTAAGTGGTAGCAGAATGAATGCTTTGGGGATGGTATTGAAACTGTTGTGCAGTGTAATCTTCGGGTAATTCAAAACAAAACCCAACAAAAAAAACCCCAGACAACAAAAGAAAACCTTGTGGTTTTGTCATCTGTAGTGCTTGCCTTGACCTGGCTGGCTGGTTAAGGCCATACAAACATGTAACAATGAAATACTGTCTGCCCAAATACTAAGCCTACAAAGGAACAGGAAATTCAAACTCAGGTGTACTTTCAGTTGCTTGGAAGCAGAGCTGTTGTTTGTGTAATTACTTTACATCAGTATCCTGTAGTCTCATCCAAAATCATTAAAATTATTTCCCACCACCCACCCCACCCCCTCAAAATAAATACTTAGTATGTGTTCAGAGGAGAAGCCTTGGGAGTCAGGAGGAAGGCTTGTTACACATCATATAATGTTCCTTAGTAACAAAGTGTCTTTTTCCTCTTAAGGCATCGCTGGCTTCACTCAATGACGGATGACCCTCCAACTACTCATCCACCAGTTTCTCGTAAATTTATCTGGGAGAATCATAAATTCAATCTGAGTGGCACTCCCGGACAGTACGTACCTTACTCAACTACTCGCAAGAAGATACAAGAGTGGATCCCACCTACAACAGCTAGCAAATAACAATAACAAAAAATGTGACTTGTCTCAGCTTTGGCTTTCAGCATAAATTGTATTTTCACTGATTTTGTTCAAAATAAAAGGGTCCTATAACAGCTGTAGTTTAGTGTATTGAACTGAGGGTAAAACAAGTGAGAAAACACTGGGAAGATGCAGAGGACAGAATATATGACAAGTCTTAATCTTGTCATGATACTGGGCTTTTTTTCATATTGTCAGTGGCTCTCACCTGCACATAAGCAGCTTTCAAACTCTTTTTAGCATAATAACCATTCCTGTGACAGTCATGTCTCACGTTTGCACCATTCAGCAGAATACAAATATAAATTTGAAATACGGGATTCTTATCTTTATCCTGTTACAGTCTCTGCATGGCAAATAATGTACTATTCATGTACTGGTTTAGGAAGCCATCTCTTTAAATATTTATTAGACAAGTTAGAAAAATAAGGCCAATCAGGAATTACAGTTTTTATTCATAAATTCTTTGTGCATGAGTATGCATGCATTTCTGTATTACAATATGATATGATAGATAATATAAAACTTATAAGGCTTCAGTAATCAGATGACATCTTGGCCCCTAAGGGAACTCAGCCATAAGCAGAAGGCCCCCTGTCATAAAAAAATTTTTGTTGTTTCCATTATTGATTCATTAGAAGGTGTTCTCCCAAGTGTTTGGGATGGGCTGTTTGTCCTATTGTGACAAGACTTTAAAGGTTTTTGGGACGTAGAGAAGTGAAATGTTGTACCAGAACCTATTCTCAAAAATGTGAAGTTTGCAAGTTCACATTTGAAAGAGAGTTGGTTGGGGCTGTGGCTTTTCTCTGTATCTTGCAGCGGGCTGATTCTTATGCCAGCCTGCTAATACGTTTTAGCAGAGCTGCTCTCTCCACAAGGCTTCCTGTACCTGATGACATAGTCTGTAGATAACTGATGGTGGTGGGGTGCCCACCCAGACCCTTGCTCATTCCACCACCTCAACTAGATGGGGAAGAAAACAGCAAGCTCATGGGCTGAGATAACGATGGGGGAGACTGCTTGCCAGTTACCATTATGAGCAAGAGAGACTTGACTTTTAAATTTTTTGCCAATTAAAATAGATTTGCATAGTGAGAAGCAAAGGCAAATAAATGTAAAACACCACCTTTCCCCCCCACCCCGCCCTTCTTCCCAAGTTCAACATCACACCTTCTTCATTCCTGACGCTTCCACCTCCTTCCTACAGCAGCGCTGGGGAGTGGGGTTGTGGTTAGTGCTTAACAGCTCCTCTCTGCGGCTCTTTCCTCATGCATCCCACCGGCTCCAGCGTGGGCTTTCCACACGCTGTGGTTCCTGTCCGGAGCTGTCTGCCTCTTCTGCTGTGGGCTTCTCCTGAGGCTGCCAGGAAGCTCTGCTCCGGTACCTGCAGCTCCTGCTCTCACCTTAGTGTTCCTGTGGCTGCTGCGCGCTCCTTTTCCCCTCCTCTGCGTGTGCGATGTGTTTGTCCGACCTTACAGCCGCTTCCCCAGAGGCACCACCATCTCGGCCGAGGGGCTCAGCCGCGCCCTCGGGAGCGTCAGTGAGCGCTGGCTGGCGCACAGAGGCCGCCCCTGCAGTCCCCTCCTGCCAGCGCCTTGACAATTACACCCAATACACTAACTTATAAAAATCATTCTTAAAGATAACGAAGAAAGGTTCTATATATTATATGCTTGCAATTGCCTGTCAAGAAGAAAAAAACTACTTCATTCCCTAATAGCCACCCCAGTGGCTGTGCTGCTGACTTCCTTTCCTTCTCATCCCCACCTGCCTGGGTCACTTAACCCCCAGTTGCTTTATTATTAAATCAAATTCTGTATTAATGCATAATTTAAAGGTGGGATTTTTAGCTTTAATTGCTTTAAACTAGTTCCAGTCTTTAAATTAGTAGGGAGTAGCACTTAGAGAGATCTCCTAATGTATCTAATTAAAAAAGGATAATGTTTAATTTACTTTTAAGTCAACAAAAGCACCGAGCACAGCTGAAAAGCAATTTGAGCCATACTGAGCAGCATATGTGGAAAGGACTCTTTCAACATTTTTATCTTGGTAGGTTATTTGACCTTAAGAACCAAGTTTACCGGAGAGCTGCTGGAGAGCTTCACTACTAACACTCATCTGTAAATGCCCTATGGGCACAAACCAGAGTAGAGCAATTAACTCCATTAGTTTTAGCCTCTACTTATTTTTAGTGCATTTTCTACCTATTGCATTCCTCTTCCTTCTTTGCCCTGTGGATTTTTTGGATTGCAGCCTAAACACGCGTCAGGAGACACAGCTGGGAACGAACCTATGGATGCAGGGGACAGACAAGGATGCAGTAACTCTACACATCCTATGCTGAAGAAAGAGGCCTCAGAGCTGGTTTGTCCTTTTGTTATCAGCTGGAACAGAAATGTTGAGAGCAAACACTTTTGAACAATTTTGTGGGCAGCAATACTCCACAGAAAGGCAGGAAAATGGGCTCATCCTCCTGCTCCACTGGGCTGAAGCAAGCCTAGGACTTGGTAGCTTGGTTTAGAAAATACTGTCAATCTCGTTTCTGGAGAGGACAGAAACCTGCTCAATCTGCTTTAATCAGCAGGAACCACAAATGCTGGATTTTAAATGCAGAATTTCACTGACTTCTCTTGTAACATTGCTTCTCCAAAGTAGATTGCTTAAGGCATGTACAGGAAATAAAGCATATGCAGAAAAATCAGCTGTTTTCCACAGGGCTCTCTGTAAATCTTCTGCAGTCTTTCTATCAGCGTCATTCACTTATAGAAGTTCACCTTTGCTGATGACATCTGCCTCAGTATCCAGACTCAGTTGCTTTCTGGTGTAAATGACATTTTAAATGCCAAGCTGGTCGAGTGTTGCAGCAGATGGTGTCTTCAATCAAGTGCAACCGAAGCACTGACAGAAATATTCCCCTTGCACTAAATGTGAGTTTTAAGAGTCAACTTTCTGACATGGGAACTGTCTCATTAAGAAAACAAGTACCTCTTCCAGGGCCAGCAGAGTGCTGAAACTCACTAAAGTTGTGTCTTTACCAGTAGCTTTCCGCATCCCCACCATCCAGGTCAGCCCTTTGCTGTAGCTGCCTCCAGGCCATTGCTGTGCTAACAGCACGCTGGACTCAGCCCCGTGCATTAGCATGGAGCCCCTCTCTCCACCGGGCACCTCATCCTCCCTCGCTGCTGCCCAGGGCTGTGCCTTGCTGCCTAATACAGCCAAAACTGGCCATGAGAGCTTAGTGTGGAGAGCAACTGAGAAAGGAGCTTCAGGAGACCCATGTCCCCATGTGAAGATCCCACTAACAATAGGTCAATACTGGGGTGTGCAACAGGGCTCAGGCCCCACGGCAGCTGCTCTGCTGGTGCCACGTGCCTCCCATGTGCCGCACTCAACCCCGCTGCCAAGCCAGCTAGTGTTGCATAGCAGGACATGCTGCCTAGTCCCTATCACCAGGGGTGACTCTGCCAGCAGAGGGTTTATCAAGACCCTGGTATTCCAACAGCCCAGGTCAGCACAACACCATGTTAAAATAACAAGACTGGGGTCCATCAACAGGATCCATTAGCAGCACACTGCTTACTAAGACTCCAGATTTTGACCTTAAGACTCACAATTGCCCTGCCTGTGCAGGTCTGGAGCAGGTGGAGTTTGCCTTGCAGAAGACCTCTGCTACAGGTGAGTACAAACAATACTAGTCAATGCTCTCGAGACTTAATATTGGCTGTGACATTGAAAGCAGCTAATGGATCCGCTATAGCTCTGTTTGGCAAAATGTTACTTCACCAGGTGAGATAGATGGAGAGAAGAGTCAGCACCAGCATCATACTGAAGAGCTTGCAGCAAAGAGTTAATATTTCATAACCATTCCTAGCTACAGCAAAAGGATAAATCTTTGACAGGCGAGGACACCCTAGACCATTTAAGAAAGTTGAAAGGAGAGGGGAGGAGGCCTTGTTCTTTCCTACCCAACTTGTGCTATACTACTGCATGCTGTGCCCACCTGGCTCCTTGAGGGCACACTGAGAACATTCAGATACTCCCCACTTTACATTTCTATGTCATATAAGCTCAGGCTTCAATTTTGGGGATGTTTCCTGCTAAGGTTGGTGCTGGGAAGCAGTTCTGAATGGGAATTAAAGGGATGATTGTTTTGGATGCAGTTGGAAGTCATCAGCCCAGAAAGCTGGGGTATATATTTTCCACAGCTGTGATGCATTCAGAGTGAAACCTTTGAGTTACTAATTCTGTGGGGCTTACTATTCTTCTGCTGGCAGCTGAGGGGGAGAGAGGGAGCAGATTCTTACTTTGCTGAAAGGTTAAAACAACTGCAAGTCTAAAGGCTCTCCCTTCACACGGCATTTGCAAGGGCTGTACAAAAGCAGGTACTTCAAGGTGGGGGGAAAGTGGCAGCCTTTAAATGGCACTTCAGGTTCCTCACACAACTCTCACAGTAAATGCTGCATTATGTCAGGGGGAAGCCTATCTCAGTGGAAGAGATCTGAGCAACATGTGTCAGCAGGGAAGCGCCCAGCAGGGATTTCCTCCTGGAGACCTACTAAGCTTTGAACACCACCCTCCAGTTCCCCAGCAGAGCAGGGCCCACGCACCAGAGCTAATGGTGACTCTTTCTTCCAGCCAAACTTAAGCATGGAGTGCAGGAAGGGGAGCGCTTTCCTGCACGTGCCATTCCCAGCTGCCGGCAGGAGCATGGCCACGCTCAGCCCACAGAGGGTCTCGAAGCCCCTAGAAAATTCCCTTGGCTGAAGCCAAAACCAGGTCTGGCCATTTCCTTTACTTACGTTTTCAAGTCACTTGAACCCACGTAACATAATTCCCCAGACTGATGAATTTTGCAGGTGCTCTTAGCTTTGTACACATGTGACAAAGGGCAGAACAAAAGCAGCATTTTGAGGAAAAAAAGCAGCATTTTCAAAATTTATATATGTAATAATTATCTATAAGACAGTTTGGGTTTTGAAAAAGCAATTTAAGACTTACAGTTATAATTTCCTCTCTGCATTTTACTTAGAGGTTTTGATTCACGATTCTTCTCCTATTAAATATCAGGGTAAAA